TATATATATATAGGTGATTTTACTGTTCAAAAAGACACTGTAGTTTTGGATATGGCAGCATTAAAATGAGCGGCGTCAACAGATTGTTTTTCATGACGTGTATGTCAAAAGACGAYCATGCACGTTCAAAAACATCACTTTAGGAGGAGCCTGCATGTTGAAAACTAACAGAGAAAACCCTCGCAGCAATGCATGAGAACAAGTTGAGATTGAAAACTGAGCAGATTTACACCTTTCTCAAAGGGGAGGACTGTTTCTGTAAGGTGAAGCAGCTCAGCTGGGGGTGAATGAYACTGCTTGAGTAAAAACCCTCTGACTCTGCTGCCTGCGAGCATTACAGATGTGCTATAAGATGTGAGCGATAGGWGTTGGTTGCTGGGAGCAGCGGACGATATCTGCTGCTGTGAGGAGGAGTGACTCACTTTAACGTTGTTTATATCAGCAAGCAGCAGCAGGCTGCAGGTGTGGCTGTATCCATTGCAGTTGTGAGCGTGAAGTTGTGAAATAGGACGAGACATTTCTGTCTTTCTGTCCTAGACGTCGGCTCTGTAGGATTTTTGTCATTGTGCCGTATTATATTCACATCCAGTCGCGTTAGCTCAGCTTCAGACACAAAGAAAAGCTCAAGGATAACGTGGACGTTTGCTACTGCAGGAGCATTATCATCAAAATCCCAGAATCTTTCATCCTTTAAACATTGCCCTCCCTCCCTCTCTTTTTTTATCAGCAGGTGACTGTTCTTCCATGTGAGTTCATAGAGAGGAAAACTATTTTCTGATAGTATAATCCCTCCTGCAGGTCAGCCTGGATGTTGCTGATATTTGTGTTCCTACCCAGGAGAGTCCAAAAAAAGGCCTTGTAGTTCTCAGATTGAATGCTTTCCTTATCACTCGCTCCATATTGTGGCTTTGATGCACATGGAGGATGGGTTTTAWAGACGGAGGTTGGTTAGGGTGTTGCTGTCTGATTACAACAGGAAGTCTAGAAGGAAGCCAAAGAATTGATCTGAACCTGTACTGTAGGAGGTTTGCACCCGGGCCTGCATTTAACCATACAATGTATATACTGCATTAAAAGTTTGCTAATTTTCAATCACATATTTGTTATATTGGTATATTTYCCCCCCCTCTCTCTCTCTCACGAGACCTCTCGAGATCAAACCTGAGTTCAGAGTAAACAAACATGGCCAATGAGGAAGAAGGAATRGTGATAGTTTGTGGATTATTTTTAACAGAGAAAAAAAATTTAATGGTACAAAAAGACATCTTTGAAATCCGCCGGACTTTCTGGTGCTCCATGGCAGTTGTTTGGTCTTGTAYGTTAGATGACCCTCCGTGTTTCTCTTCGCTTTCTGATTGGCCACACATCACATTCAGTTTGTCCTTGCCCCCGATTTGAGGTTGGAGTGTTCCTTTCCGAGAGACCACTCCTTACACACCACATAAGGCAAAAATATCTCCTACACAGCAAAAATGCCAGTGTTAATTTAACACCTACAGTGTTAATTTCAACACCAACAAAGTGTCAATATGTGTCCACACTCATTATTATTAACAAAGGAAATTGTGTTGTTAGAAAGGTTAACAGACACCACAAGGTGTCAATACACCATATATGTATTTGAGAGTGTACATTTAACATTCAGAGTTAATAACAAACTCTCTGTAACACTACTCAGTAGTTAGTAGAAAAATATWATAGAGTCACTCTTCACACWCTAAGAAGTACYTCTCACTCATGGTGTCRATTTTTGGCCAATAACATAAACTTAAAGTTGAACAACTTGATCAAACTGGACAAGAAAACTAACCTGAACAACTAATTTTTACTCTCATGAATGTCTTTAATGGTCATAAACATGCAAAAATGTCATTTCTACAAGATTTCTCAGCAAGGAATGCTGGGTAAATACTGGTCTGTCTGACATGAGGTGGAAGAGGGCGGGGCTTTTCAGAAAACTTCTTTCAACACTGTGGTGTTGTATAGCTACACTGTTAAGTGTTATATAAGACTTAATAGTGTGTGGAGCTTATTTAACACTGTCCAGTGTTGAGACAACACTGAGGAAATCAACACTGCGAATTAACACCAACACTGGGTGACCGTTTACTCTGAAAGTCTTAAAATAACACTAGTGGGTGTTAAATCAACACCCAAAAGTTTAACACTGAAATTTTAACACTCCTGTTTTTGCTGTGTAAGATTGTCTTTAGAGMTTCACAGTGTYCTTAAGATTATCACAAGGGCAAAAYTGGKCCAAAAATTGTCACAATTACCTTGCCATWCAGTAAGTCACGTCACATTCTTCATCATGGCATCGTACACATGCTTTGCTTGCTGTTTTTTAAGTGTATGTTAACTGATCTTTATTTGTGCAACTTTCTGTTTCTCAGTCTGCAGGTGTCAGTGGATGAGGTGGATTCTTCTCCACCGACCATCATGGATGTCAACCCCCTCTGCTGGCCTCTCCCCTGTGCCAAAATGCCAACTTGTTGTGTCTGAGCAGTGACACCTTGGCTACACACGCTGTGGACATGATGACCCAGATGGACTACAAGTACAGCCTTCTGGGCTCTACCGTGGAGGACTACCACAAGAGGCCACTGCTCCTGCAGGTGGACAACACACCTATGAATGTATTTGCAGTTCTGCAAGTGAAACGGGAGCTACCGAAGCGCTGGAACAGCGTGGGYTGCAAGATCCGCCTCTATGGCTTCCTGTTCGGCCTGGCCATCACGTTCTTCATCATGGCATCGTACGTTTTGACCGGGGACAAAAAGGGCCTCGTCCTCACCCCGTCCCCTTACCACTTCAGCAGCCTGGTGAGCCCAGGACCTTTTGCCTTCAACCTTTCCTCGGCGAAGGACTACGCACACATCAAACTGGTGGTCAAGTCCATTACATCCAAGGTGGAGTTTGGCAGCAGTCGACAGATTCCGGATCTGAAAGCACTAGTTAAAAGTGATCCACATGTGAGTTCAAAGCCATGTTCTGTGTCTGTTTGTTCTGATTTTAATGCATTCAGATACAAACCCAGGGCTGAAAAAGTTGGGATGTGGTGTAAAGTTGAGCTAAAACAGAATGCAGTCATTTGCTGACTGAGTAAAGAAGAAGTCATGTGAGCAGCAGTCAGAAGCAYGGCCTCCTTCTCTGCGCCAAARYGGAAAACTGYTCTGTGGTCAGACAAAACAAAGTTTAAAATWCTGTTTGGAAGCCGCAAACTCATATTCAAAACTAACTTTTTTTCCCCCAAAAAATATGCTACAATTGATTTCTTAGTGGTTGCTTTCTATTTTTATCGACACAACATCCCAGCTATTTCAGAATAGGGGTTGTAGATTTTAGTAAATAGTTTGTAATCATCACTATATTAAAGCTGTTTATTCTGCATTTATTTTAATTAGTTATTGTGTCCTGACATAATCCAGTGCCGCCTACACAAAGTCCAAAACAGCCACACTGATGTAGTGTCTAATTTAATTTATAAAGCAGTAAACATGCACTTAAAATCTTGATTAACACTCAGGTCAAATGCCCATAATTACTTTTTTTTATTTTAAAATGTTTTTCAACACATTGTACCTCCTTCTTTGTCATTTTCACCTCCAAGCTTGATTCAATTAATTCCTAGTCTAGGCTGTGGTGAGGCTACATGTGACAAAGCTAATTTCATTTTGAAGGATTTCATGAATAGGAGAGTGAGGCTGCTGGACAATCAATACTGCATTAGTGGATGGTTTCAGCATTAATTGTCCCTAAAGTCGCTGCTGCTCCACAGGCTGGTGAGCGAGTCTTAATAATGTGGCCTGCTGATGTGTTTGAGGCAACAAAAAAACTTTTGAAATCACAGTAAGGAAGCTGTTGGAAATGTGTCACCTCACATTTACACCTAATCGTGTATTAGTTTTACCTCTAATGTGCGCATATAATGGAAACAAAAATGCACGACCACATAATGGGACTACTTTTAAAGATTATACACATCTTCACTGGCTGAATGAGGAACCTTGAGAAGTCAGAAGAGAGATTGGGGACAAAGATGTCATTATTTAAAAATTATACTTATTTTACTGTCATGCGCTATTTTYCTTTTGTAGTAGACGCCTGAAAACAAAAACAATTATAGATGACTATTAAATTTACATACATGTTGGAAACAAATGTAACAAGATATCAAACAGATGGCCAGAGAACCCATCAAACAGGTCAAAGAGAAAGTTGTTAAGAAGTAGGGTTAGGTTCTAAAACAATATCCTAAAATGTAAGCATCTCATGGAGCACAGTTCAATCCTTCCTCTGAAAAAAGGGAAAGTAAAGCAGGACAGCAAAACTACTGAGACAACCTAAACCTGTAAGCCGGGCAAGAGGAGCATTATTCAGAGGATGTATGACATCTCTTTCAGTTTTATTTTTGTGTTTCTACAAATTAATCCCAACCATAACTAACCTTAATGCAATTAAACACACGCTTGCTGACTGTAACAGCCTTAGTCACAGGGATTGTCTGAGCTTTCTGACCTCATTTCAACAGATTTTGTTTTAAATGTTAGAAACCAGAACTGAAAAGCCTCCAAGTTCAAAAAGGGAAGTGACAGATTCGGTCTGTCAGAGCTGCCTCAGTAAAGACACAACTTGTAGCTTCAGATACTCCCTGAATGCTAACAAATGGCTTGGTAACTGTGCAACAACTCTTTTGATGCTTCCATCAGTCTCTCATGAAAAAGAGTGCATCCATGTGAAAAGTTCAACTTTTTCAGCACTTTATCTTTAGTCAAACCTGCTCCTCTGTAAGCAGATTCTTCTCTCGTGATGTTTTTATATATCTCTAGACAAAACAGCATTCTGAAAAGTCTCAAAATGTTAGCCAGTTCTTTTTTTATGATTGCATGAAAAGTGACTGGAAAGCTTTGTTCCCATGGAGCAGTCTTAGCGACAACAGTTTTGCAGACGACTTTGAAATGTGTCTGAAAATGCGAGGCTTGAACAGTTCGACAGTAATAACTTCCCCCCCTGTCTCCTAACAGATGTTTTCTGTCGTTCCTCAYCAATTCCTGCCCGGTGTAAGGAACCCCTGCTGGTACGAGGAATACACCGGGAACGTCACCTCGGATCCGTACAGTACTAATTTGTACGGGCGATACTCACGACGCTTCCGGACCGTTTTTCAGCACCTGAGGAACACGTTCCGCGACCACTTGACACATCGCAGCAGGAGACTCTACCGCATGCGGTGCCTTCCCTACTTCTATATTATTGGTCAACCAAAGTGTGGCACGACGGACCTGTACGACAGACTGAGGTTGCACCCCGATGTCAGGTTCACCACTTTCAAAGAACCGCACTGGTGGACCCGAAAGAGGTTTGGTAAGTAAARCATCCTGTGGCGGAGACCTCAAGCTTGGCCACAAGAATGACTGAGAGTATTAAACTTGTGAAACGTGATAGTATAAAGTTTTTCAGAAAGTAATTATTGGCTGTACATCTACAGTGGTTGGATAGCACTGGTGGGCAGCGTTAATCCAAAAATTAGCTCCGCAATTTCTAAAGCGCTTATGAAAATATTTAGGTCCGCAACTTCAAAAGCGCTTATGCCACAGGAAAACTAGCGGAAGCTAATTTTAAAGCTTAAATTCAATTTGACACTTACTAGCTGGCAATAATTCATGTACAATATATGCACAACACTGCCAACTAGTGGTGTATGAACCCTTTTACAGCTTATTCCTATCCGATTGCTGGGGATGTGATTTCCTGAAATAGACCTTTGGCTCCTGGTGTAAAAATTAAAAAGTTGTTGAGGATTGCTAGTTCGGCTGCTTCTTTGTCTTTTTCTTATTCTTTTTATAAAAATTAGTAAGACCGCTAAAGCGCAAACAAAATATTTAGGTCCGCAATTAGCGGATTTGCGCTTTAGCGGGCTGGTGCCCACCACTGTTAGATAGCATTGCTCTTTTTAATACCACGGGGGTGAGTGCACTGCAATCTTGTACTGTCAGTAACGATAAGGGACGTCTTTTGAACGAGCCGAGAACAGTGTTTCAAAGGTTTGAGCAGAACAGTTTTGACATCAGTTTTCTGAGTGAATATAAGAAAAGAAGGGGTTTTCTTTATAATTACACACATTCATGAATGTGACATTTACTAAACATTTCTGTTCAGTCAGCCATCGCATCAAACTAAAACATGAATATTCAAGACGTGTGCCATTCCATGAATAATAATAAACCAAGATCATTTTCCACCAGTAAATTGTAAGCTTGGAGTTTTCAGCTCTCGCGTTGTATTTCTCTCTACGGGGCATTTTAAACACTAATTGCCACCCCCCTCCTCCTCCACTGCCTTTACACCAGCCGCTAACTGCTGCAACCTTTTCATCTCCGTACATATATCCTGAACTCACAGGCAATGCAGCTCATTAATGACTGAGCCAAAACTCCAAGCAGAACAATCCGCATCAACTTCACCGTAACCCGTGACTAAAATTTTTTCCTGTGGTTGAAGCCACTTCAACACATGAAAACCTGCGTTTGAAGGTTTGCATCTTTCGAGCACTAGTCGACACGCACGTCACTCACATTTACTTCACTGTATCGCTCTGCTGTGGTTTCCTCAGTCAAATTTTTGTTTTTGCTGCTCTCGCATTTTTTCTAGCAGATCACGCTTGCCGTACCCTCGTATATTAGACCGTTAATATTTTTTTTTACAAACATGATTGAAATAAGCAGCAGATCATTCCATTCAAGCAAAAATCTTAAATGAACATTTTTAAATGTAACTTTTTGGACTGTGTTTTTTATTCACTTTAGGACTAAATGAGACTTGGTCTTAATGTGTTAGCTGTGTGTTTTTCTGTTAGCAGAACATATTGTGAACCACAGCACAGATTTTTACTGATACTCTCAGAAAGTGATCACTGGACAGTATATCTAAACCTGATTAACTTTTGGAGTCAGACTGATTTAAGAAGCCAGGCATCAACTTTAGAGAACACAAAAATGGCTATRGCTCAGTCAGTTTTACACATACAGTGGTGTGAAAWAKTGTTTRCCCCCTTCCTGATTTCTCATTCTTTTACATACTGTTTGTCACACCAAAATCTTTCAGATCGCCAAACAAATTCAAATGTGAGACAAAGATAACACAAGTAAGCACAAAATGCAGTTTCTAAATGAATGTCTTTATTATTAAGGGAAAATTAAATCCAAACATACAGGCTCTTTGTGAAAAAAGGTAAATGCCAAGTAAACCTAATAACTGGTTGGGCCACCATTAGCAGCAACAATAGCTGTGTTTCCGTTGACCATGAAAATGCGCAAATTAGCATTTCGAAAATAAATTTGCTTAATGGAAACACGTCAATTTCGAAAAAAAAATATGTTTTTCGACAAAATATTTTTGCGCTAGGATGAGGTGGTTTTTTTGGCTATTTCGAAATTGGTGTTTTTCGCAAAACTGCAATGGAAACACTTTTTTTGCATCACAGGAATCACGTGATCAACAACCGGCTGTTTCTACTGACGAAAAAGACGACAACGAAGAAGATAACAGGAAGTAAAAGTAGTAGTAATATCACAGAAATAGTATAAAATAGTAAACTCACTGACCACAATTTCCCAAAAACACAGCATACGTAGCCGCTCCCAAGTAGGGGCTTGTYGCTGGAAAGCCTCGATAAGACACTGACGTCTCCTCTGATGATGAGCRCTAGTGTTGCGGTAGCAATATGCTATGTGTTCACATCCATTGCCGCCATGCTTGTAATGACTTATCTCGAGAACAAACGTATTCACACGACTTTAATAGCATTTCTTACTTAATGGAAACACCGCAGTTGCGAAACTGTTTTTCCGACATTAACAGAATATCAACAAAGTTTTGCGCACATTTGCAATGGAAACGCAGCTAGTGTCAATYAAGTGTTTGCAATAATGCTGTCTTTGACAGCGCTCTGAAGGATTCTTGTCTCACTCATCTTTGCAGAATTCTTGTAATTCATCCACATTCGAAGGTTTTCAAGTGTTACGCCCCGTCTAGGAGCAACCAGGACGTAACAAAAGGTGGAAAAAWTCCAYAGCAYGCACACACTCAAAACATAATATGACGGCAGTGATAACATCAAGATTGAACTGCCTTTTTAAGGTCATGCCACAGCATCTCAGTTGGATTTAGATCAGAATTTTGACTAAGSTATTTGTTGTRCGTAAGCCATTCAGASGTGGACTTGCTGGTGTGTTTTGAAACTCAAGTATGMTTCAGCTTGAGGTCACGAACATCTGGTTGAACATGCTCCTTCCTTCAGGATGCTAGACAGCAGAATTCATAGTTCCATTCACCACAGCAGGCCTTCCAGGTCCTGAGGCTGCAAAACAAACCATCACACTGCCAYCACCATATTTTATGATGTTCCTTTTCTGAGATGCTGTTACTTCTACTCCAGATATGTAACTTAAACMTTCCAAAAAGTTCAACTTTTGCCTCAACAGTCCACAGAGTATRCTCCCAAAATCTTGGGGATCGTCAAGATGTTTTCTGGCAAACMTGAGATAATCCTTTATGTTCTTTTTTATCAGTAGCGGTTTTCATCTTTAAACTCTGCCATGCAATCCATTTTTGCCCCGTATCTTTCTTATGGTGGAGGCATGAACACTGGCTTTAACTGAGGCCAGTGAAGTCTGCAGTTCTTTGGATGTTGTTGTTGGGTCTTTGTGAACTCTTGGATGAGTCGTTGCAATGCTCTTGGGGTAACTTTGCTCATTACTGTTCCATGCTTTCGCCATTTGTGTACAATGGCTCTGACTGTGGTTCACTGGAGTCCCCAAGCTTTAGAAATGGATTTACAACCTTTTCCAGACTGATTTTAAATTACTTTGTCTCTCATTTGTTCCTATGTTTTTTCGGGTTTCAGCATGATGTGTAGCTTTTCATGATCTTTTGGTCTACTTTACTTTGTCAGACAGGTTTTATTTAAGTGGTTTCTTGGACAAGTGTGGCCGTAATCGGGCCTGGGTGTGGCTGGGGAAATTAAACTCAGCTTTCCAAAGATGTGATAAACCACAGGGGAACCTTTACGATTTCACACAGGACCCTGCATGTTTGGATTAATTTTTCCCTTAATAATATAGACCTTCATTTATGAACTGCATTTTGTGTTTGTTATCTTGATCTGATATTTAAATTTATTTGGTGATCTGAAACATTTAAGTGTGACAATATGTAAAAAGGAAAAAAAAAAGAAAAAAGAAATCAGGAAGAGGGTAAACACTTTTTCACCCCACTGAATTTAGCCTAATTTTGCCATGGTAGTAGCTGGAAGTCATCCCCAATATGCACTCACAGCACTAAGGCGACATGCATTTCTCCGCTGTTCAGAAGTCTCAGCTACAAAGAGCCTACCGCTGCCAGAGTTCTGACTTGGCATTCAAAGAGGTTGAACAGTTGGCATCATGTGATTTACTCAAACAAAGAGACAAAACAACGGGCGTCGCGGAGTACGACAGCAGACATCTGCTGGTGTGACAGCCCTGTCGTCCCAAAGTATGGTCGCCGTCGTGGTTTTCCTGTTGCAGGAGCATCTGTGATGTTTTAAAAAAAAGCTGCCGTGCTGTGACAGATGGGATTTAAAGCCAAGCAAGAGCTGGTTGTGAGAATATATCTGTTATGAAAGCGCTAAAAAAAATCTTTTCTTTTAACCAACTCACTTAACTTGTTCTTCATGTTTTCCATAAAGTCTTTGGAAATACAAGGTTTTACAGTGAGTTTGGCACAAACAAGGAAACTCGTCACATGTCTATTATTGAAACTGTCACTAATTTTCTTGAATAATAGACAGTCTTGTTCAGCTCTTGATGCAGAGATCAGCAGTATGAGTCAGTATGCATTGGCAAATAATATGTAGATATTTTCCAATAAAACATGCACAGAGTGGCAGTTAAGCTCAGCCTCTCGACTGATGGCTGTTTAAAGTCAGATTGTAAAGTCAAACAAGGAGTAGCTAATGGCTCAGTATTGATTTGTTTACATAATGTATAGAGATCATTTTTGTTTAAGGATGGGGGCATTATGTAAGTTCGACATATATTTTTGAGCTTTATAACATGTTATAATGTCATCCCCTCATCAAAAACATACCCAAAGCATTGCTTTGACTCATTAATGTGTGTTTGAGAAATCCTTGAATCTCCTGTGGGGAACACTTGCTGGTACAAAGCTCCACCTATTTACACAAAGCTCCTCCCTGAAGCTCAGTCTGCATCCGGCTCCTGCTCCACAGAGTATGTTTCCCCCAAAACGGTAGGAGGTTTTTAAAGAGACGGAGGCCAATTTCAAGTTGTTTAGATGAGGCAAAGTCAAACTAATTTTTGATATATACAGCATTTTCATAACAACTGGGAACATAGCTACTTGATTGTGGTGTAGAATTGATATGTGCCTGGAAAATACACAATACACCAGTGGCACTCTCACATTGATTGCCAAGGATTATACTCACTATTCTGAAATTGTTTTTAGTTGTTTACATGCTGCTGAATCTTAGTCTATTATTACTTCTGAAAGCTTTCTAAAATATTTTTTTTATACCCAGTCCTCTTACTGACCYGTTGACAATTAACTTATAGTACATAGTTGCAAAATGCTCCTCCAGTTTCTTCTTATTTGTATCGCCTACTTTTCAAAATTGTTTTTTTTTCATAAAAATTGCACAATTTTCAATCTAAAGATGTTTAACAGCCTAAACAATCTTTTTGAATTTCATCCAATTCCCGTCTTTATCCATAATCCCTCTGAGATTTCCAGCATCTGTTCAGTTCGAATGCAGGACTTCACTCAATTTATTCTAACTTCTTAATTTTCTATGTTTGAATTATTTGCTTTAATTTATTTGCCTCCTGCTTATACTTTCTGCAGCTTGCGGCGGCACAGGTGTACCTCGGCGATAGGTCCCCTAAGTTTATGTCCCCCTTCATTTCTCCTGCTTTCATGTTTGCTCTTACTTTGTTTTCATCCCTTCCAGACCCATACTTCAGACTTGGCGCTGCTAATCAGTAATTTTCTCCCAAGTCGTCCTCTGAGGACACTGAATTCAAATGGCCTTGTTTTGTATTTATTTATTTCATTCGCCTTCGAGGCTGGGCTCGGCTGATGCATTGAAAAAGGTGAATTGATGCGGTCTGTGCCACATAACTTTCTCAGGCGAGCTGGCTCAATCTTAAGCAAATGCGCCCGTTTTATGCAGCTGAAGTCAAGACAAACGACCTGTTTGGAAAGCGCTTGACACTTAATTTATATGAAAAGCAAAAGGAAGGAGAAAAGCAGGACACAGAAATGCACTCAATGCAGACAAAACAGATCCATCACACCTCATACAAGTGTGATTGTTCGAGATGAATAATGAGGTTGGCTGGCTTTTTGGCCACTTCACTAAAGTTTTCTAGCCATGTCTTTCCTGCTTTTTAGAGGAAGGACCGCATCAAAGCATCACTAAATGTAGCAGATGGCTGAGTCACCTCATTATCCTTATGCTGCATGGATGCTCTTAACAAATGCATACAAATTATATTTATCGTAATTTTTTTGACGCATCATTTCTGCTCTTTTCATTTTTTCCTTTGCTTTTAAAGCCCTGACTTTACACAAGCTGTGAACTGAAAATTCTAAAGCAAAAAAAAAAAAATTCTCCTGATTAATTTGGTTTGGATCTGAACTTTGATCTCTTCAGGTCACACTGCTCTCAAGGTGACAGCGAATTTTTGTCACAAACAGAAAAAAAGCTTAAAAGGATACTTCAAAACTAACAGAAGGTTATCAATAATTGGTGAAGTCAGAGCATGGAGTTTGGGGAAGAAAAACAAGCCAGGCAAGGCTAATGGCTAAAGCTAACCATCCATGTGAATTCACCTTTGCCGTCTTGCTTCATCAGGCATCATTCGTCTCAGCGAGGGCTTCCATGATCGATACCCGGTGGAAGACTACCTTGACTTGTTCGATCAGGCTGCTTATCAGATCCAGGGCAATCTGACAGCAAATACCAAGGGGTCCCTCAGCCACCCAAACATCATCATAGGTAAGTGATGCAACACAACGTTCACGTAACACTTAAAATAATCAAGTTTAAATTATCTGCTTAAACTGATCCTCGTGATTTAATAAAAAGAAGACCAGTGACATTTTCTTTGGTGTTGGTTCACTCGTGCATCAATATGTGAATGATCTCTGAGCTTTATCTTAGGGTTTTATGAACATCTGCAACCTATGTTATGATTCAACTGTAGCAACAGGTTGTATCATTTTAGGTATATTACTGTATCTTGTTTTTTTACTGTAAGTTATCAAGTCAAATAATCAGCGAATACCTCATTTTTCCACACTAGCAGCCACTTGCTGAGAAGCTCATTTACTTAGTTGTTTGACAGTCAAGAAGATGTTATTCAGTTTTCAGTCTCTGTTTCTGGGGAAATTATTTATTTGTTAAAAAAACATTTTTTTTTGTATTTGTTTCTTCTATTTAAACTCTGAATAACATACAGAACCATGACTTCGATGTACATCCTGACACAAAAAAAGCTCCGTGTTCCCAGTACCATAATAAATGTCGTATAAATCCAAGAGTACATAAAAAGTAAAGAGATATCTCCAACGCCAGTTTCAGTGGAATTATGTTTTATTCACTTTTAAGTTTAAAAGAACAACCACAACCACAGCCACTGTTCAGGAATTATAATTAAAGCATGATGGATTACCTAACAGTGATGTGCTGGAGATATTAAAAGTAGACATGTTTAAGCTAATTAAAACCTTTGATTTATCTGCGGGAGGGTTGCTGTAAATTATTAATGTAAAGCGTGAAGTTAAAACTAAACCTCCATCCTTGTGCCAAAGCAGGCCAACTTGTCTTTGTGTCAAACATCAAATCTACTTCTTATGATGAAGTGTAACCTAGTTACTGACATCCAGCTTTTTATACTGGTCTACACTTCACTTTGAGCGCTGCAAAAAATGTGACAAGAAGCTGCTTATGAGGATTTTCTTTTTCTTTCTACTCTTCTGAAACACTACTGGTCTATAACATGAAAAGTACATTGAGAACGACACGTCTGAGGAGAGTTGAGTTAGCAGGATACAAACACGTGAAGCGCCTCCTGACATAATCAGATCTGTAGGCAGCTGTATCAGCACAAACATTTCCTGTTCTGCATGATCTTCCTGTTTTGTCACAGCATCAGTTTGCACTGCTCCAGTTCCTGGTTATCGCTCGCCATCAAATGTGACCCAACACTGAAATAAAAGACAGCGGCCAATATGTATTCTTTAAAGGAGACATCATCTTTTTAAATCCTTCTTTTTCCACATTTAAATCCTTCAGTTGGGGTCTATTTGAAGTAGAACTGCATGGATTTGGTCCGAATTCCTCCTTATTGTAACTCCACAAGCCCCTCTTTCACCCCCTTTTCTGAGCTTGTCTCAGATCAACTCATTTTGAAGCTGTCTCTTTAAATGAAAATTGAGCGCTCCACACCCTGCCTCACTTCAGCTTCCAGACTAGTTTGATATAGGGGCTTGCAACTATATAGTGGCGCAGAAACCTTTATTTACAAATTAATCAAAATATGTCAAGGGAAGACTTGTCCATCCAGCCTTATATGTTGGAGCCAGAGTCTGATCCAGAGTGATTGGAAAATGAAGATGATAAAACTGCCGTCAGTAAGTCCAGCCTTATTTGGCAGTTTTGTCGCAAATAATTTGACATCATAGAAAATAGAGAAAACAGCTTGAAAAATATGGTCCAAATAGAGTGTAAAGATTTCTACGCAGCACTGGGAGAGACAAATGTCAAACTGAGTGCACGTCTAGAGAAAATGTATTTAGCTGTAAAAAGTGTGTGTGTGTGGGGGGGGATTTTGCATGATGTGTCCCCTTCAAATGTTACCGTATTTCTTCAAGTATAATATGTAAAACAGAACCCATAAAATCATCCATAAAGTTGGGGGATAGTACTATACCTGGATAAATATTTTTACTTATGTATTTTAACTGAAATATCGGCTTCATTCACAAAATGCCTGAGTCTGGAAATGAGACCGCATCGTAAAAAGCAGTTGAAGCGAGCTCTCCTGTGACACTCCTCCGTGCTTCAGAGCGAGATAAAAACAGATCCAGGCAGGAGACATGATGTGAACAAAAGGAAAAAAATAGTCCTGCACCTTAGTAATGATAACAAACTAATGACATTAGCATGTGACCGGACCGCTGCTGGAACAACAACAAACACCGGTGTTCTGAAAAAGTTTGTATCCCTGAAAAAATGTTTCCCCACCAGAGGGGGCGCTCACGAGTAGGAAGTAATCTGCTTTTCCCCCAGAAGATAGCCCAAATTTCATGTGAAGTCTCTGACATTTGTGTTGGCACATCCTGGTGGACTATGTGTAAAATGC